CTTCATAGATTTTTGTTTAATGTTTTGCTTTGAGGTAAGAATAAGCCTTTGGATTAGAATAAGATCTTATCAGTTTGGCTTTTAATAAAGATGTGCTTTGTTACATAACTTTTTAAAACTTATTTCCTTTAGCTAAAGATCTTATCCGCACAACAGTTGGTCAAACAAGACTTCTTATGAAGGAAAGGTTCAAACAGTTTGAAGGACTGGTGAATGATTGTGAATATAAACGCGGTGAGAAGGAGACTACCTGTACGGATCTGGATGGATTTTGGGATATGGTTAGTTTCCAGGTATGTGCACAAATGTTTTGAGTATATGAACTTAAAAGGTTTTCTGTTGCTGCTGCTGTTTTGTTTGTAAAATTAAGAGTACAAGTAACATTAAATGAGATATTAGAAAGCACTTTTGTAACTCTAAATTATTATCTAAATTTTATAGCTGATGTCTCCTTCCTCACTGTTGTCAGGATAATTTCTTAAGGGTAAACATTTGAAATTATGTTCAATACTTCAGTGGTCTACATGTGAGAAAATGAATAAATCTCGTCTTTAGTAATTCACTTCAACTGACAGTTATTAGGTTCCTACTGTGTGCCAGGCATTGTGCTAAGAGTTGATAAATAAGACAGACATATTCTTTATCTCGGAGTGGTTTGGGATTCCAGATACAGTATAAAAGTTCATGTGAAAAGTTCGAATAGATGGACATTCGCAGAGGGTCAATAAAGGTATGGAAGGAGATGACTCTAGCATTTTAAGCTTATTCTAGAAGTATGTAAAATACCATTTCAAGAACCAGTAGCCAATAATCATTAGACATGTAGATAAGGCCTCAAACCTACAGGAAAGAGGCAAAAGAAAACATACTGAACCAAGCTATCTGGGTGACGAAAATGGGGATAATACAAGGAGAAAAGACAAGGATTTCATGATGGCCATCAGGTGGAAATAACTCAAGAGACCATCAAGCAATGGATAGATAAACAGAATATGGTATGTGAACACAAAGGAGTATTATTTGGCCATAAATAAAATGGAATTCTGATACTTCCTATGACATGGATGAACCTTAAGGCATTATGCTGTGGTAAAGTAAGTTAGAAACAAAAGAATCTATTGTAGACTCCTACTTTATGAAATGTCTAGAATAGGCAAATACACAGAGATCCGAGTTTATTGGTGGTTTACTAGCAGCTGGGAGCAGGAGGAGGAGATGGGAATTACAGATGAGAGGGTCTTGAGCTTCTATTGGGGTGACATTACGCTTTTCGAAATGGATAGTGGTGAGAGTAGAATAACATGCTGAAATAAAGTACTGGCCTGAATTGTACACTTAGAAATATGGTTTAGATGGCAAACTTTCTGTTATATGCTTAACTACTGTAAAATGTAATAAGTATTAATATTCTTATAAATCAGACATTTC